ACGTGAGTCAGTTGGTGTGGGGGAGGAGGAAAAGGAAAAACACCGCAAAGTACAAAACACCACTTTTATTATAAATACCAAGAGCCCACGGTGTATCTATGGACCAGCATCTTCCTTGGTCCTATAGGAAAGTAGTGATCCTACTACTTTCCAAATATTTAAATGTTTAAGTATTTAGTGGTCTGAAGATTTCTCACCTCAGGCGTGTTAGCCACACCAGCAGTGGCTCTACACCAAGTTACAGTAAGTCATCTAAGTCCCCTTTTTCTTCCAAGAAACCTGCATTATGAGGACAAGCTTGTAGGTGGGGCATTCCAGGCAGAATTTCAGGCCTAAGGCAGGCAGGCCGCACACTTCAGGAAGTAACTCCCAAGAAGCAGCTGCCTACTCTGCCAGGCAGCTACGATTTCTATTCCCAAACTCTCCACGTTTGAGAGGGTCTGACAAGGCTTTCATTCCAGGGCACCTGAAGCCCCAGGAGCCTGCACCATGGCCCAGTAGGGGCCCTGATTCTCCATGAGCTGCTGGTGGGTTCCGGCCTCCCGAATGGTGCCTTCTTTCAGAAAGAGTATGTGGTCAGCCTTCTCCACGGAGCTGAGACGCTGGGTGATGAGAAGCACCGATCGGGAGTGCCGCTCAGGGCTTTCATACAGGAGATGCTCCACCTGAGAAAAGACACAGACCCTCTCAGAGCTGGGGACTGCTCCCAGCCCAGGACACATATCGGTGTTACCAGAGCCTGGCTAGACTGCACCAGGACCACTGCTACCTCCACCAGCCACACCAAGGAGATGGGAGATTCTAGCTCTGAGTGCTTCTCTATCAAATCTTTGATTTGTTAAGGACCATTTACATGAGTTAGTAATGGTGGAACAAAAATCAGAGTCCTATGGTGTAACCCACAAGAAACGAGGGAAGGACAGTGAATAGTCTTGCCCCTCTATCTGTGGACTGGGCATTTTAGTATTCTCTTTAAAAGGAGCATAACTTACTGACAAAGAACATGGGCATTCAAGTCAGGGAGACTTGAATTGGGGTCCAAGATTGCTACTCAACTACTATAAGACACTGAGCAGGTTAGTCAACCTTTCCAGCCTCCACTCCATCACCTGTAAAAGGAGGATCATAATGTCCAGCTTCCAAGCATCCACGATGGATAACAGAGAGCCAGTACATGCAAACAGCTTAGCAGCCTTTCTGGCACATAGTAAAAGCTCAGTATCATTGATATTATTGGGATGGTCTTTTCCTATAGCTTCAGAAATTCAAAATCTATAGAGAGTCTCTTTTAACTGGTTCTAAGCATTCTGGGGAGAAGCTAATGAGATGAAGAATAGCAAGGGCTGGTTTGGGAAATTATAATGGCAGTATCATGGATAGAGGATGTGTGGAGAAGACTGGGTGGGGTGTAGGCATTAAGGAGACACTTCTCTCACTCGTGACTGGCTGTCTGCATCCAGGGCACTGGTAGCATCATCCAAGATGAGCACACGTGGCTTCCGGATCAACGCTCGAGCCAAGGCCACTGCCTGTCGCTGGCCCCCTGAGAGCTGACTCCCAGCCTCGCCCACTTCTGCAGAGACAAGAGCCAAGGTGAGAGCTGTAAGTGTGCTCACTTGCACACACACACACACACAAACACACATCAGGTTCTGGCAGATGCAGTTGGGCTGGAAAGGAGAAGGAGCTTGAAGAGTGTGAGGTTAAAGGAGTCATAGGGGCAAGATCACACAACTTCAAATTGATGCCTGTGGGTCTGGGCGAACTGACGAATGAAAGCACAGCTAGCAGGGTTTCAGTAAAGGTACAAATCTCTGGGTGTCACGCGAGTGGAGAGAGCACCTGCATTGTAGCCCTCAGGGAGTTTAGAGATGAAACTGTGGGCCCCTGACTCTATCGCGGCAGCTGTGATTTCCTCCATGGTTGGCTTCTGGGTTAGGCCATAAGCAATATTTTCTTGAACACTTCTTCCAAAAAGTTGAGGCTCTTGTCCCACTGCAGCCACCTAGGGCAAAATATGATGAAGTCATAGAACAGAGAACAGAGGGGCACGGGGTATAAAGATTGAAGACTCACTCTTCCTTGAGGCTGTATCACAAAAAATCACACACTCTCTCTAGTGACCACACCCTGATCTCCACCCAAGGTCTCCTATCATTCCCTTCCACAGTCCCTTGTGCTCTTCTTTCTCGGGTTTTGACCCTCTTCCTTCCCTCCCCTGCTTCATTGTTCAGATCTACAGGCAGCTTGCACCTTTTGTTTTTTCCCTGACTCTTTGCTGGGCTTCGTTATAGTCCATATATAAGTAAAACCATCTGATATTTATCTTTTTTCTTCTTTTTCCTTCCCTAACATAGCACCTGGAATTCACTAACATAGTCCCTTGTGCTCTGCTTTCTCCTGTTTTCACCCCTTTTCCTTACTTGCTAACTCTCCTTTCAGAATGCTCAATGAGTGTGCTCAGCGAGAGTGCCCTTTAAAAAAAATTTAAACTTATTTATTTCCTTCTTACATCATTATTCATTTGTGTACAATATTTGATTTTCCCCCTCAGGTGTAGACCCTGTAGTTCTTCCACCCCCATAGCACCTGGAATTCATCACCACAGTCCCTCGTGCTCTTCTCTTTCCTGTTCTGACCCTTCTTTTTTCCCCTCCCCTTGTGTATTCCTCAGATCTACGGTCAACTTGCAAGTTTCATCTTTTTACTGACCCTTTGTTCAGTTTCTTTATATTCCATATAAAAGTAAAACCATCTGATATTTATCTTTTTCCTTCTGCTTTATCTCGCTCAGCATAATCCCTTTCAGCTCCATCCACGTTGGATGGCATGGATCTTTTTTGATCACTGAGTAGTATTCCATTGCATATCTTCTTGACCCAATCATCTGTTTTGGGAATTGGGTTGTTTCCATATCTTAGCTATTGCAAATAGTGCTAGAGAATACCCTTCTTACTTGATGTGTCCACCTCCCCCATGCCACCTTTTTATTCACCTGTGTGTGCAGATAGTGGTGGTCATATAGGGGAAGGGGCTCCCCATCCAGCAGCAACTTCCCTCCAGTGGGCTGGTACAGATTCTGCAGCAGGGCAGCCACTGTGCTTTTCCCAGATCCATTGGGCCCCACCAGCGCCGTCACCTCACCAGGACGAAGGGTGAACGTCAGCCCCTGGAGGCCAGAGAATCACACAGTAAGAGGCTTGGCCTTGACCTTGACACCATCATTGTGTTGTTACATACATGTTGTCTTACTCCAGAGAAGAAAGGAAATGGAAAGGCATAACATCTACCTTCTACATGCACATCCTTGGGGGTGATAACTCCCTCAGTGAGCAGAGATGGAAGATGAGACAAAAAACAAACCTCAGCACCATAATGCCCACACTAGATATCATATACTATAAGAGATTCCAAGTCACAAATGGAAAGGAAAGGAAAGATGGAAATCTGGAGGCACAGATTTTGCTTCAATGATTCTTCAGGATGTGAGATGCTTCTCCCATTCTCCTTGCAAATCCAAACTGGTTCTCAAGTTTAGAGAAGTTTTATGGAACAGATGATATTCGCCTTTGCCTTGGAACAGTTATAAAGGGTCTATACATGGGCTTAAGCAGGCAGAGGGCAGGAAGAGATTTAGGATGGTAGATTGAAGGGTGAGGTTGATGGAGGTGCTGGCAGAGTGTACCTGCAGCACTGGGTCATCTGGATGATTTGGGTACGTAAAGGAGACATCCTGGAATTGGACAAGGCCCTTCAAGCTCGAGGAAGTCAACACACCACTGGGTGGGCAGCGAGGGGTCCGGTCCAGATATTCAAATATTTTCTCTGAGGAACCCACAGCCTTTTGTACACTAGGGTAAGTGTAGAGCAGAACCTGCAGGGGGAGGAAGTCTGATTAGTGAGAGGGAGTGGACAGACTGAGTCTGCTTGCCAGGGCAAATAGAAGGAAAGTGACAACGATGGTGATGGGCTAGGAGCAGGAAAGCACTGGGGAGTGAAGTGGAAAGAGCTCACCTCAACAGCTGTGGTGAACTGCATCTGGTAGAGAACAAAAGTGACAAGGTCTCCACTGCTTACAGCCCCACTGGTCACCAGCTTCCCACCAATGTATAGGATTCCCACCTTCAGCAGCATCCCTGAGATCTGTGGATAGACCACAGGGAAATGAGATTATGGTAGAAAACTCTAGAGGTGGCAATTCAGAATCACTGTATTAAGGGGCTACAAAGTCCCTTTTCCCCCCAGGAACAGCAACAGACTCAGTGTGTAGAAAGGGAGACTAAACCTTAGTGAGCCATGGAGGACTACCCAGCTGTTCACGGTGTGGGTGGAAGTCATCACTTTCATCAATTACATCACCATCATCACTTGCTCAGGGAGCACATTGCTCTGCACCAAAGACTTTCATGAATGTCATGTCACCTGCTATCCATATCAAAAGACCTATAAACAAGCTGGTATCACTTTCTTTTTTTTAAATGAAGAAATCTAAAGGAGGCTCTTGTTCTTGGTTCCAGAGCTAGTGAGCAGCAGCAACAAGTCAGGTACTTCTGGTCTAGTTCTCTCTCAGTTATGTCGCAGATGCCCCTCATCTTGGTTCCTCTATTGTCATGGCCGTCACATCCACACAGTCCGAACATGAAGCAGGCCCAGATGCAGGAATTTATAACTCCCCATGCTCCCTGTAGGAGCCAAAGGAGGCCCTGGGCCAAAGGACCTGGCCTCTCCCTGGTTTTGTGTACTGTCGCATAAGGAAGCCGGCCATGGTATTGAAACAGAGAGAGGGGCTAGGCACAGGGAGTGGGGTTACTGGGCCTCAGTTTGCTAAGATGAAGACAATGAACCAATCACCACCCAGAGGAGGAGTGTGGGAAAGGGAATGGACCCAACACCTCTGGGTGCTCACACTGGTGGTCCAGCTGTTGACTGAATAGGCCAGGGCCTGCTTCTGGTTGAGTGTCTTCATTTCTTGCAGTCTTTGTCTAAACTTCTGGGCCTCTCCTTCCTCGTTGGCAAAACTCCGGACTGTAGGCATAGCAGACAGAGCCTCGATGGCTACCTGGCTGGCCTGTGCCAGAGATTCCTGTAACTGTGCTGCCAGCAACTGTGGAGACATAGACAAGAGTTGTCACACAGGGTTGGAAAGCCATAAGGGATGCTAGTGTCTGGGTTGTCTGGCCCGAGATTAAAGATGAAAAGGGAAAGAGGGACAGAAATGAAGAGATAAGGGCACAGTCACACCCCAAGACAGAAGAGATGCAGAGGAGAGGAAAATGACTCAAAGGGGCTGTCAGGGGTCACATCCTTGAGATTGATCACCAAATCCTTAAAGACAGATGTGATCAGAAGTTAAAAGACACGGAGAATGTGACGAACAGCTTTGAGCAATCTGAGAGCACAGACTAGAGGAGAAGACCCAGCAAGATGCACAATCAGGGAGGGTGCCAAGAAAGTTATGAAGAACGCTTGGAGGAACGGAGCCCTCTGGGAGTCTGGGAGACAAAGGCCTGTGTACCTGCGCCAACACCCTAAACATACCTGGTGCCATTTTCCCAGCTTCTTAGGCAGAACGAAAAGCAGAGGCAGGGAAAGCAGGGTGACCATGGTGAGGGACAGTGACCCCCAGAGCATGAGCACCAGGAGACACAGCCCCCGCACCAGGTACCACAGCAGCAGGCTCAGCCTCTCGCTCAGAGATTCACTCAAGGTGGACGTGTCCTCTGTGACCCGAGATGTGATAGCACCTGCCAGGGGTTGGGGAGAAGACAGTGGAGTGAATGAGAGGTTCAGAGTGGATGGGACACTAGCAATGGCAAGCGCGGGGGGAGGGTGTCAGTATGGCGCGCTAAGAGGCTAAGAAAATGGGGAGGTGTGGAGGGAGGTTTGGGGATCTCAATGCAGTGAGGATGAGTGGTAGGGGGCCAAAGCCTGGCCAAGGGCCTTCATTTTAACTATAAGAAAAACAATACCCATGTACATTTCAATTGCGCTGACAGATCTCTGCGCCTTGCCTATCTGATGCTGTACATATGGGTGGGGAGAGTTCAATAAGCTGGTCCTGTGCTAGAGTTGGTGGGCACATCTGGAAAGCAATCAGGAAACTGTGCCAGGCATCCAACTGGGAGTCAGGACACTGGGGGTCTACCTCCATATTCCCTCTGTCACAGGTGACCAGCAAGTTTCAGCATTTAGGGTGCAGGCCTCCATCTCTTTCACTACAAAAAAGCAGTTAGACTCTGTGATCTCAAATTTTCATATTTGAAATTCTGTGGTTTCTATCTAAATACACACACACACATACATATAAGAATAAATTTATGGGGGGAAATTTGGATGGAAAAATTAAGTCTTTCTGAAGGTATTTTGCTCTTGAAGCATATCAAGAATGAAAAATGGCTGTGTGTGTGTGTGAGAGAGAGAGAGAGAGAGAGAGAGAGAGAGAGGAGCAGACATAGCTAGGCTATATGTAAAAGAGGTTGTAAGGAGGTATAAAGAGGATAGCCATATATAGTGAGTTTCACGTGAAACCTGTTTGGTTCTGTTGGAAGAACTCTGTTTCCTGGCGCAGGACAGCTTGGAACACCTCTCCCTGCAGCTGGCTCTGCACATGGCCCATGGCGCTGTTGTAGATCCCGTCCCCCATGAATTCCAGCACTGCACTAGGGAGAGTTGGAGAAAAGGAAGGTTAAGTGTGTTTAGGGGGCAGAGTAGGTCCCAGGTATCTCTGCAAAAGTGCACTTCGGGCAGTGGTCCCAACTTCCAACTCGCTCTTTCTCAGAGTCCCCCATTCCCAGTTTTCATCTTCAGCCCGCAGACCTGGCTATGGTGAGAATGGACATGAGAGCAATGTTTCGGTTGAAGGCCGCTGCTCCGTCTTGTAGAATCCAGTCAGTGAGTCTGCCGGTGAAGAAGGGGATGGCCATCTCCCCTGGGGAGAAGAGAGGTGGGTCACTCACAAACTACTAGTGTAAGCTCCAACCAGCCACCTCTCCCTATTGTTCTGGGAGGCAGCAGAGAAGAACCCTCAGGTCACACCCCTGCACCTAACACAGGCCACCCAGAAACTCACAATGCTGTGGCTCCACCAGACATTTGGAGGGTAATTAGGAAGGTGAGCGACCAAGGAATAGGATACTCTGGCATCAAAATGGAGCCGCACTGCCCCCAAAAGAGGGGACTTACGAGAGGTGGCTCAGTGAGGCAGCTCACGGGGCTGCACAGGGTCAAGGACTCTCTCCTCCACGCGGGAGTGGTTTCCTCCAGACCGAGCTGGGTTCCCAAACCCCACACTAACCTGCTTTGCTAACCGCGACTCTTGACTCCCCCGCCCCCAAACGACCGCCCCTCCCCCGGCAGCCCCCTTACCCACACAGGAGAGGACCAACAGAACCAAAACGAGTGGGAAGCGGCGGATCTCGGAGCCCAGACAGCCCAGAAGTCGATGAACCTTGTCTCCGGAACCCCCGAGATCCCCTGGCTTCCAAAGGCTCCTGAGCTTATGCCACAGGGCAACTGCGGGCAGTGCAGCCGCGTAGCTGAGGGCGAAGGCGTCGAGGCGACTTCCCCAATGCAGTAGCTTGGTGCTGTCAGAGTCCCTAGCGACCCCCCAGGACTTCAGCTCTCGGAACACGGCAAGTCCTGGCAGGGCCAATCCCAGCGCCGCCGCCAGTGGCTTCAAAGCAGTCATCCATCCTTGCACCCCTGCGCTTTCGCTCACGGAGCCAGGCGTTGCCCCAAGGACGCCTCGGGCCCCCAGGCGCAGCACTGCCCAGCGGCTCAGGCCCACCAGGCAGACGCGCAACAGCGGCACCGCAGTGGGCACCAGCAGGGAGAACACCCTGGGCAAGGCGGGCCGGAGCAGCAGCAGGTCGGTCAGCAGCAGCAGCGCTGGCCCCAGCCACACGAAGGGAGCCCGGGACGCGCCGAGGCACCGCCAGGGAGCGGGCGATCCCGAGCTGGCCATCATCGGCGCGCGGGATCGCGCCCAGGTCGGGGACGGTCTGCTCCCCCGCGGAGCTTGAGCCTGGAAGTCGTTGGAGTCGGTCCCGGCGCGCGCAGGGACCCGCGGGTCGGGGAGGGAAAGTGGGCGGGCCGGGGCGGAGCCCTGGGAAAGTCCCGGGAACTGGCCACGCCGAGACGCGCTACTTAGAAGCGAGTCGTTTATGGGAAAGGAAAACGAAAGCAGCCACCCGCTCTCCAGATCCGCCCACTTCGGATCGTGGCCTGCCAGGACTATTTTGGGAGTCTGAAGTCAAATCTGACTTCAGATCATTCTTGGCACTCCAGCATGGTCACCGGCCCCACCTTTCCTCGAAGCGCCTCCTCTGGCTGCACCCACTACCTTCTCACTCTAGACTCAGGGCGGGTCTCTAGCGTCACCTGTCTCCGGGCAGATTTGCGCCACACGGGTTAGCGCCCCAAAGCGCGGTCTCCTCCGGAGGTCCCGGGCGCCCCCTGGCGGGAGGGGGTGTGAGGGGCGGGGCTGTAGGCTGGGCGCGGCGTGCGGTGCGCTGTCCCAGGTCGGGAACCGGAGCCCCAGGCAGCAGAAAGAGCGGCGCCGGGATGCTGCGGGCGGGAGCACCAACCGGGGACCAGCCCTGGGCCAGAGAAGTCCACACTGGGGTAACAAGTCTGGGTTTGAGGGTTAGCAGCGGGGAAGAGAAGATAGAATGACGGGGGGCCCTGGAAGCACCGAGGAGTGATGTGGACTCCAATAAGTGTGAGGCGGTAGCTTGTAGCAACCAGTGTAGGCACCTTAGGATGAATTTAAGGCATCTCTACTCTGAAGAGGATCTTCTAGGGGTCGCGAGGGACCAGGCATGGGAGCCGGTAGAGAAGGGGGCGCTTTGGCTCTTAGCTGCAAGCGTCAAGGGGAAGCTGTTTTAACTCGCTTTCGCTTTCATTCCGAACTGGAGAGAGGGGCTTGTTTTTTGTTTGATTTTTTAAGACTTACTGGGGTACAGGCCAGAGTTGGGAGGGGAGAGGATGAGAGGATTCACTAGAGACAGAGTGAAGAGAACAGGCAGATTGACTTAAATATATTGCCGAGTGGAGCAGCTGGTGAGACAGGAGAGGTCTGCCACACCATGTGGATCACCTCCCTGGCCAGGAACTGAACTTGTGCTGCAATGGCTGCGGACAGCTTCACAGTACTTAACCCCTTGCGCCACCGCCACCGGGGACGGCCCTGGAGAGAGGGTTTGTTAAATCAAGTTGGACAAGGTGTAAAAATATGAGGATCTGGTGCGGTGGATGAAGGAAGAAGGAAATATGGACACTGATTGAGGAGGTTCAGCACATCTCACAGACCTTTGATAAACTGCCCCTGGGGCGGGGAAATCGTAGCCCCAGCACTGATCTGGGGGTTCCATGTGAGTTGCTGGTGCCCTTGCCTAGCTCCTTTCCTTCCTCTTCCATTTCTCAGAGCCTCCTGGGAACTTTGCCCAGATTGCCTGGGGCTGGTGGCAGCCAAGGTTACCACCACCTCTTCTGCCTGGAGGGCAGCTTTGCCTGAGGGAATAGGCACTTCCTGGGGTTTCCCTTGTTCTCTGGCTTTCTGTGTATGGTAAATGTGTCAGAAAGCATGCTCAGGCAATCATCTGTGGGGGGGGGGGGGGGCGCAGAGTAACTTATAGTGCCTGGAAAAGAGAGCAGTAAAACCATTTGTAGTTTAGAAAATCTTCCCTTGCTGCCAGATGAGCAATGGAAAGTAGGAAGTAGAAGTCAAAACAAGAATGGCAGTTAAACCTGGGTTATTACTCCAGATCTACTATTAGTCCTTGTGACCTCACACAAGTCACTTGCCTTTTCTATGATTCAGTTTCTTCATGGGGACCAAGGATCCATCTTTTTTTTTTTTTTTAAGATTTATTTATTTGTGCATGCAGAACTGGGGTACAGACCAGCCTCTCTGGCGAGAGGCTTCACCAGAGACAGAGTGGGGAGCAGAATAGACAGATCGATGAAGTACACTGCTGAGGGGAGCAGCGGGCGGGTCAGGAGAGGTCTGCCATGCCATGTGGTCACCTCCGGGGCAGGCAGGGATTGAACTCATGTGGAAGTGGCTTTAGCTTCTTAGTGCTGTGCTTTAACCTGCTGCGCCACCTGGGAGGGCCCCAAGGATCCATCTTTAAGGACCTTTCCAATTCAACAGTAGAAAATTATATAACTTTCTCCTCCTTCATTCTTCCTTAATTCCTTTCCGTAATTTCTTTTCTTGACCTGGAAAAGTCAGCTCAAACTTCCCAATCAAAATCTTGGTACAGATATCTTCTCCTGGCTATTAAGACATCTACCTACTTCTTGATCAGAAATTCTTAAATGAAACTTTTATTTTGGTTTTTTTTTTAAGATTTATTTATTTGTGCCTAGAGAACTGGGGTATAGGCCAGAGACAGAGTGGGGAGCAGAACAGGCAGATCAACGAAATACACTGCTGAGGGGAGCAGCAGCACCTCTGGGGCAGGCAGGGATTGAACTCACGCTGAAGTGGCTTTAGCTTCTTAGTGCTGTGCTTTAAACCGCTGCGCCACCAGGGAGGGCCGAAAATTTTATTTTAAAATGTCTTATGCTCTTGCTGATTCCCTTTTCCCTTGACTCATGGCCTTGCTAACCAATGACCTCCTCAATGTCTTCTGTTGTTCGGTAAACTAAAAGAGCTCACTTCTGAGTAAATGAAAGTGGGGGCCACAGATTCTGTCCCCAAAGAGAACCTGAGTTTTCTTTGCTTTGTGTCATCTATACAACATCTGTACATACAATAAGCATGTGGAATAGCTGTAATTCACTTGTGGGGCTGCTTCACCAGTGCTAGGAAGTTTGTCCCCCTAAACTTTCCCCTCAAAGGGAACACTTTTATCAGTAAGACCCTCACCTCAACTCTATAAGTGGAGTGGATTTGGGGTTTTACAGATGCAATTCTTCCAGTGTTGGGAAGAGCGGGGTAGGTTCCTGCATTCCCTTGCAAGAGACAATAGAATATAGGAAGATGGAGAGAAAGCTGTACTGGGAGTCAGCTTTGGCCCAAATTGCTGTATGACCTTGGGCACGTCACCTCCCCTCTCTGGGAACGTTTCCTCATCTGTAACATGATGGGATCTTTGTGACTTTGTGAGGTTCTTTCTGCGCTAACAGTGCAATTCTCTGTGTCTCTGCAGACAACCATCATGGCGGTAGAATTTGATGGGGGTGTTGTGATGGGTTCTGATTCCCGGGTATCTGCAGGGTAAGTACAAGTACCATGTGTGCTTTTGGAAATAATGTAATGGCCCCAAATGCACATTGTTCCTACCCATTCACAAATTGATTGGAGCTTGAGAGAAATTAAGTTAACCTTCCAGGAAAGCCATTGCAAGATATTGGTTGCATGGTTTAGTTTCTGAATTCATGGAGAAGAATAAAATGATTAGATAGGGCTTATCCCTGGGAGAAATAGGGTCTGATAAGAGGATAAGGAGTAGAAATCTGAGGGGGCCTCTTTCACCTATGTTTAGAAATAGAAATGATGGTCTCAAATATTCCATCATCACATATTGAACCGTTTTGTCTCTCCTTCTTGGCCAAGTTTCTCACATACAAAATGAGTATATGGGATTAGATCCATATTAGCCTACCTCAAGAGGGTTAATAGCAGAGAAAAAAATCAATAAAAAGAACATCATTCTCAAGTTAGTATGTTTTCTTTTATTATAAAAATCTGAGCCTGAAAATAAGTCTAATTTTGGTTATTACTTGCTGTGATTCATTCCTTTGAGGTGATTTTTTGCTTTCTGTTTTAATCCAAGCATTAACTTTCACGTACTCTGTGGCTATTGTCTGGTCAATAAATTTGAGAAACACTGAATGATCAACCTCAAATATTGCTGCAGCTCTAACACTGGTGACTGTTGACTCCTCTCAACAGCAAGGCAGTGGTGAACCGAGTGTTTGATAAACTCTCCCCCCTGCACCAGCACATCTACTGTGCCCTGTCGGGATCAGCTGCTGATGCCCAAGCCATAGCAGACATGGCTGCCTACCAGCTGGAACTCCATGGGTATGAAGCTCTGGGGACCTCACCACTAGGACTCCAGCCAGGAACTGAACCCCTGCATGGTGTCCTGTTCCAGAAGCATTGCAGTGGGAAATGAAATGTTCTTTGTAACATTGAAATAGTACTTGAACCTCCTGAAGCTGGTTGCTGTATCTGTGAACTGAAGATAATGCCTTCTTCTACCTCTTCAGATGGCTATTTTGAGAGTAAAATAATATGTGAAGGCAGTTTGAAAACTATAAATCACTACCCTAATATAAAGAATGAGGAAGAAAATGTGGCCATCAGAATGCCTGGGGGTTAGCTATGAAAAGTCAAGGTCATTGATGAGGAAATAAAGTTTATCTGCTTTTACCCACAGGGGAGGTCCCTTGCAGCAAAAAGTATGTGTCATTGGGGTGAAAGTGGGGGGAGAGTGGGACAGGGTAAAGAAGAACAGTTGAAATCTTCTTACCAAGTGGTGCTGTGAGACTCTGGTTCCCCCCATATATGTGGGAGGGGAACTGGAGTTTGAACTGTTGCAGCTATAGTTTCAGGTGTCACTTGGCAGGGAGGGTGAAAATGGCACCAGAGGGTGGGACTTCAGGCAGTTGTACTGCCCCTGTGCCTAATGTTTCCTCCAGAATGGAACTGGATGAACCTCCACGAGTTCTGGCTGCTGCAAATGTAGTTAAGAATATCACCTACAAGTATCGGGATGACCTGTCTGCACATCTCATGGTAGCTGGCTGGGACCAACAGGAAGGAGGCCAGGTGAGTCTCTCCCCTTATCCAACATCTTGTGGGGTTTCCCATGCCCCTGCAGAAGGGCACGAAGTTCAGATGTCATTCTAGCAGTGAGTTCCAAAGACACTGCCTCTCAAAGCACAGTTTGGGATAATGGACTTCACTGCAGAATGTGGAGACCACCTGCTTGTCTCAGTGTGAAGGAAAGATTTTTTTTCTTCTTCACTATTATAATCTATGGCTATTAAGTGGAATTTTCAGTGTACAGCTTTATATTTGTTCAAGGCTTGGGAGTGCTGCTCTATGGTCGTTATAACCAAAGCTATTATCTGCCTGACTGTTTTGGGGAGTCAACAATCACCAATGTTAGAGCTCTATTGTCTTTACAAACCAAAGCTGTTACTCCTTTCCACTTTCTTGATCTACCAAATTTCAATCAACAATCTTTCTAACTTTATATACTGTTACTGTATTTTACTTAGGCAAAATATAATTATTTTCTCTTTAATGGGACATAGTCACTCACTAACAGTGCCTAATTTATATTATTTCCTTTTATCTTTACAAACCACTTCCACTGGCACATTACAGTGGCAGAGGAACTCTTCTGAGTTTCATTCTGTTTTTAGCACTTCATCATTTTCAACTCTTGTCACGTGCTTTCTACTTGGCCTTCCGCAGGTCAAGGAGATTTTTTTTCTTAATATGGAAGACTTTTCCCCTCACCAAACCACCTGTGCCCATACCCCATCTGCCTCCCTCCCCAGCCCTCCACTGTCTCCCCTATTCCCTCTGACAACAATTATCTTCTTTTTCCTGAGTTCAAGTTTTATGCTTCTATCATCTGATGCTCTAATGTCTGACCTGTGACTCCTCCCAGGTGTATGCAACCCTGGAAGGAATGCTGACGCGGCAGCCCTTCGCCATTGGTGGCTCTGGCAGCACCTACATCTACGGTTATGTGGATGCAGCATATAAGCCAGGCATGTCCCCTGAGGAGTGCAGACGCTTCACCACAAATGGTAACCAAGCAGGTGGAATGGCACCCAGGGATGGTTTTTTACATGGGAAGGAAGCAGTGTGAGGAGCAGGGAGAGGAATACATGAGTGGCCATTTCTTTTAATGTCCAGATTGGGACACTTCTGGGGGTAAAAGGGAGCAGAACAATTGGAGGGGGAAGGGACCTCAAGACAAGAGGCATGAGCCAGGACTGTCTGAGTACACAGATAAGGGCCATGGTTACCCCAACAATCAGTGTGGTATGCTGGAACTGAATTGTGCCAGCTCGCGAGCTGACTGTCAAATATCCCAGAATTTGTGAGCTATTGTTAAGCTGTTTATAACTTAAATAGATCCTGGGGGTTGGGGGTACTGAGGCTTTGGAAGTCAGGAGATGCTACACATGAAGGCATTTTCTAGAAGATGGTTTTCCCACCACTCATCCCTCTAAGAGATGGGGTGTAGAGTCTGAGATGGGAGTAGGAGTATGGGCCAGAAGGGAAGGGAAAGCTGGTCGAAGCTAAGCTCTCTCTTTCCCACCCTCCAGCTATCACTCTGGCCATGAGCCGGGATGGCTCAAGCGGGGGTGTCATCTACTTGGTCACCATTACAGCTGCTGGTGTGGACCATCGAGTAATCTTGGGCAACGAGCTGCCGAAATTCTATGATGACTGAATCTCCTCAGACTTCCTTCCTTATTTTGTAATAAACTATCTGAGAACACAACCTGGTATGGTCAATGGGAAATAAGTGCTCAGAGAGAAGACACCTGGGAAGGGGACTTCTTACCTCCCAGAGCTCAGCACACCCTTTTTATTCCTTTGTCACCAGACCTAAAACATCTTTCTTAGAGGAAGGGGTGAACATACAAGAAAGAATCTCCTATACACACTGTGACATGTACTGAGTGGTTCTGAAATATCAGAAATGTAAAATTCTCATTCTGACACCCAGAGTGTGAAGGTGAAAGTAAGGAGTCATTCCCTTCCAGCTAGACTGATGGGGGTAGACACTGCAGAGCACATGAAAATGAGCTGAGCACTCTGATAAACACGCTTGTAAAAAGCATTCATCAAGCATTTATTCCCACTGGAAATCAAAGCATAGCAAATGCTTAAATATTCTGGGACTACTTATGAATTTCAAAGAATAATAACAATAACCCCCCCCCAAAAAAAGCTACATTTATTGAACCAAGCATTAACTTATGCTTATAATTTTTATCTCTTAGAACCCAAACTTTATCTGGGGCCCTCGCTGGTGGCTCAACAGGTTAAAGCGCAGAACTAGGAAGCTGGCCTCAACCACCTCAGTGCAAGTTCGGTCCCCAACCAGGGAGCTGACCAAGGAGGTGACCCACATGGCACAGCAGACCTCTCCTGTCTCTCCTGCTGCCCTCCTCAGCAATGCACTTTGTCAATCTGCCTGTTCTACTCCCCACTCTGTCTCTGGTGAATCCTGTCACTGCCCCTGCACCTCTGGCCTGTACCCCAGTTCGGTACGCATAAATGAATGAATCTTTAAAAAAAAAAAGAAAACTTTATCTGTTAGTACTTACCTCAGTACTATTACTACTTCTATTAAGAAAAGAGTCACTAGACCAACTTTCAAGTTCAAAAGTAACTCAACTTCTTACATCATCTGCTCCATGAAACCTGCGATAGCGCAGCACATTGGCTGGCACCTAGGGAGTGCCACCTTTGCCATGTGCATCCCAAGCATCAGGAAAAATCACCCCCCTTCTGTGAGTCTCAGTTCCTCTATCAAGTGGAGGAATTGAGTAACTGCTGCAGTGATTTGCAGTTCTGGCATTCAGTGCCAGTTTGCTAGTAAGTGAGCAGTTGGGAGGCACCTTGCATAAAATACTAGAAGGCCACCCAGGAAACTTGTCTGCTTTTCTCTCTCCATCTCAGGCTAATACACAAATTCAAAATACTCCAAAAAAAAAAAAAAAAACCCTAGACCCTACAGAGTATGGATTTGTTGGGGGGGAGGGGGATTAAAACTTCTAGAGACTTGGTTTCTATTGAGCCATGTTATTTAATTTATTTTGGAATTTAAAATTATACTTTAAGAGACTCTCATCCCCACTGATCACAACCTGAGTCTCTGGAGGGTAAGAAAGAGCAGAACAGAAACCAGCAGGTGGATTTTGAGGCATCAGAACTTGGGGAGACAACCCTTCCCAAGACAGACCTGGTTTTCCATTTCCCCCTTTCTCCCCTCAGGGCTTACCCCACATCAGGCCTGGGGTGCAGAGCTGCACTGCTCCAGCAGCAAACGCTGAATCTCTAAGAGAAACATCATCTTTCTGACCAGACCAACCTACAAAGGCGTTCTGTGGGTAGGAAGCAGGGAGTCTCCCGAATGCATAGCTAGAGAAGGGAATTCCCAGCTAAAGAAGGGAATCCCAGAACTCTAGGTGTGAACCCCTGAGAGTCCTGGTCACGCCTGAACTGCCCAAGTGAGCAACATGCCCATAAAAGCACAGCAAAGACTGAGGACTGAAGTAAGAGTACAACTATTTTTAATCCCAAAAGCTGTCTTTCTTTCTGGACAACGAATTTTGTCCTTATGCCCCTCATTTCCAAAAGGGTTTATAGTACCTCACAGGTATAAACACACTTTTTATTTAAAAAAAAAAAAAAAGGAGAAGATGAAATTGGGACAAAGAGAAAATAAGTGAAGTCAAGGGGTAAACTTAATATACGGCTAATAATATACAAGATGAATATACTTTTTAATGGTGTGCTGGAGCTGTCTTATGCTGACACTAAAAAAACTAGATTGTAAAATATTCAGGAATTTTGCAAGTCATTTGTTGACCATTTGTAGCTTAACACTGCTGTGGAGAACTATTTATACTACAGAAACCAGCAATACTACAACTCAGGACTTTTGTGGACTTCCCCACACGCACACACAGAGTCAGCTTAACAGGACGTGTACTTATCAGCTGATTATAGTTAGGTAAAGAGCAATTGGCTCTGACCAACAGGTTAGTAAAAGCAAAGGAAACTAGGTACAAGATTTCAAAAGACTGATTGTAAAAAATAAGCCTGTGTGTGTGTGTGTGTGTGTGTGTGTGTGTGTGTGTGTGTGTTGGTGTATGTATGTTTTCAAGTCACACAGAACATTTACTGAAATAGAATATGCATTATCCCATTAAAAAAAAAAGCCAGTAAATTCCAAAGTATCAGCATCTTTAAATAAAACTACATTCTGCAGCCTTACTGTGATAAAATCAGACCTTAATAATGAAAGGATGTTTAAAATTCTCATGGTTTGTGAACTAACAAATCATTAATAAATAATGTGGGTTAAAAGGCCTGTCAGGCCCTCCCTGGTGGTGCAATCTGTGTGCATAAATAAATAAATCTTTAAAAGGGGGGGGGAACAGTCATAAAGGAAATTAATTCAATTAGAACCAGGTGGAAATGTTACAGATCGTATTTCATGGGACACCATTAAAACATTATGTAGAAAGAATTTTATAGCCTCAAATTTATTAGAACAAAGAAAGGCTAAAATAAGTGACCTAAAAATTTCCTCAAAATTTTGGGGAAAAAAAAGAGGAGTTGACCAAACCCAAAGAAATAAGAAGGAAGGAAATGATAATGATAAGAACAGAAAGCAGCTTAGGAAAACAAAAATTGTAGTGAAGATATACAAAACCAAAAACTGCTTCTTAAAAAAAGTTGTCAGCTATTCAGATTTAAAACAAAACTGATCACAAACAAAGAGAGAAAACTGATAAATACAGAATGGAAAGGGGGATAGAGCTACAGCTAAACAGAGATGTGAAACAGTATCAAGAGCTCTATGAAAAGTACATGCTAATAAGCTTGAAAACCTTGATGAAACATGTAAATTCCTAAAAAAATTTATTTAAAAAAATTAGCATAAGAAAAATTATGAAGTTTGGTATATTGAAAAAAATGAAAAAGTTGCAAATGACATCTGGTAAAAATAATGAAATTTAAAAGCCCAGGTGATTTTACAAGTGAATTCTTGCTAACATCCAAGGAACTTATCTTAGGTAATTTTTTTCAGAAAAAAGATGCTCAGCTATTTTATGAGGCTAGCATAATCTTGTTTCTATTACAGGAAAAAATAAGAGGCTTATTTTACATTGAACATAGATGGAACAAATAAATGATTATATATAAACTGAATTCAAAAGTATTAAAGTTAACATTAATACATGAAGATCACATGAGAAATCTTTAGAATGAAGCAATGGTTCAATATAATAAAATATATTATGGGCATTCCCTGGTGATGCAGCAGGTTAAAGCACAGACTAAGAAGCTAAAGCCACTTCAGCATGAGTTTGATCCCCAGCCAGGGAGCTGACCCACATGGCGCGGCAGATCTCTCCTGACCCGCCAGCTGCTCCCCTCAGCAGTGTACTTCGTGGATCTGCCTGTCCAGCTCCCCACTCTGTCTCTGGTGAATCCTCTCACAACCTCTGCACCTCTGGCTTATACCCCACTTCTGTATGCATAAATAAATAAATCTTTTAAAAATGTATATCACAATAATTTATCATACTTGTCAACTAAAAAAATAAATAAAATAAAACTTTCTTATCTTGGTACAGTTAAATTCAAAACTATGCATAACAAGAAGTATATAAATAGAAAAATCTTAAGTGTCTAAGACAAGAATGCTTACTATAATTACTAGGTAAACATAGCACTGGAGTTTATGCTAATGTATAAGGGAAGAAAGAAAAGTAAGAAAACTGGATGAGAATATTGTTTATTTGCAGATTACATGATAATTGACTTAGAAAAAAAGAATCAGTAAACTTTTAAAATAAAAAAATTGATCAATATTTTCAACTATAAAAACTATTACAAAGATGAAGAACATTTCCTACACCAGAATATCCAATAAAAAATACAATAAAAACTATATATCGGATTCAGTGCTGTCACATACATAAAGTGCTGAGTAGAAATCATGTAAATTGGTAAAATGTCCATATGAAGAGAAATAAGGATTTTGAACAATAAAAAGGAAGACATTTTTGAACTATACCAAATGTGATTATTTGACCTATAGTTATCTTTGAGATTCTGTATTTGACCTATAGTTATTTTTGGGATTCCTGAAGGCTAAGACTAGAGGAAATTATAGGAAAAACCTTCCTTTTGTTAACTAATAAAAGGAAATACAGAAACCATTTTCTGTTATGCTTGTATAAAGATTTGTTATTTTTATTATATAAAGGTTTTAAGGAAAGTAATATCTGTTGAAACTGATGAAAATACACTGGGTACAAATACAGTTGGACATAAAACTTGAAGGAAAAAAGCAGCAAAAATGTTATTGGATCATTTCTCAGAGAATTAGGAAATAGGAAGGAAGTGGATATAATACAATACTCTTACCTAAAAGTCAAAGCAACTGATTGATGGAGGGAATAATGGAAATAGAGTCCTTGATGTACTTTGCATATTGCAAAAAGAATCTTTTTTAAGATTTTTGTTCAGCTTCAGCATTTTATTGAATAACAAAATAGGGCCCTCCCTGGTGGCGCAGCGGGTTAAAGCACAACACTAAGAAGCTTAAGTCACTTCCGCATGAGTTCAACCCCCAGCCCCGGAGGTGACCCACATGGCGCAGCAGACCTCTCCTGACCTGCCCGCTGCTCCCCTCAGCAGTGTACCTCATCCATCTGCCTGTTCTGCTCACCTCTCTGCCTCTG